ACTTGTCAGTGGTGGCGGGGCAGGATGAGGAGCCCGTCCCAGCCTGCTGTGGCCAGCCAGATGGACAGAGGGCAGCAAGGGACAGGAGAACAGTCCCCAGCCAGCTGGCATGGGTCAGCGAGAGATGCCAGCATGGGTCCCCGTAGTAGAACCTGGAGAAAGGGTGCAGGAAGGCCAGAAGGTCACAAGAGGATCTCCCGAGAGCCAAATATTTCCTTTTTACTTTGCCGGAGGCATTCATGTCTTTGCTTAATACCAAGGCCCGATTGTCCTCTGCCCAGCTAGAGGGGTCAGCCTCATTCCAACATCAGTGCTGCTGTTGCCTCTACAGTCACGTCATCACTCATCAATTCCCTTGGTGGATGCTTGCTTGATGCAGCAAAGATAACAATCCAGGGTGCTGGAGATGTGATATTATGGCTGGCTGGTGTCTCAGCATCCGTTGTAGCTGCATGTTTCCTTTGCTCTAAGACCATTGCTTTGGTGTAAAGTATGCCTTAGATCTGCGCCTGGCCCTCTCCTTCCAACTATTCTCTAGGCCTCAGTCTCCCTTTCTGTAAAAGAGGTATGTTGTAGAAGTAAGGTTGACAAGTGTGTCAACAGACACAGAGGGTCTTGTGGGACAGTAGCATCCAGGGCTGAACACCAAATGTGTCTGCCTTCTCCAGTGGCAGGCAAGGAAGAGAAGCACGCTGTCCCTTAAGGGACTAGGCTGACCCTGGCAAAGGGGTGGCAGATGTGACCCAAGAGAGCGTCCTGCTAAGAAAATATGCAATAGAAGCTCCTTGCACAGAGGCACAAGTGTCAACCTGAAAAGGAACCCCTCCGTTTCCTCCAGTTTGTCTGAAGGGGTAGAATCTTGACATGTCTGAGATCACAGATGTGAACGTGTGGAATCTGGCAAGGAGGAGAGGAAGTTAAGAGGAGTGGCCATCATTTGGGCGATGGTATGGACAGCACTGTCTTTACCGTCGTCAGTCACCAGCCTTGACACACCAGCATACTGCCTTCATCTGCACCCTGGTACCTCCTACTTCATGATTCTTATTGGGGTCTCCCAGGAGCTAAACTAAATTAGAGCAGCCTACCAGGGATGTAGTGTCCATCTGGAATCTTAGCATCCAGAGGCTGGGGGTTCTCAGATCATGAGACTGAGACCCCCACCTGAGCTTCTGAACTCAGGGACCATCTCTTTGACAGCACACCCTCCACACTGGCAGAGCAACAGTGGGCTTGTAGGTAACCTGCTGATTTCAGCCCCTGTCTGTGTGCAGATGATCCGGAGCCTCACAAGCCTGCCTTGGTGTTGCAGGCCATTCTCCAAGCACAGAGCTAAAGTTATGTCAGCCCTTGTAAGCTCACACACTCTAGATGTGCTTGTGTCTGTACAAGAAGACTGTGTTGTGCTGTGCTGTGCTGTGCTGTGCTATCCTGTGCTGTGCTGTGCTGTGCTGTGCTGTGCTGTGCTGTGCTGTGCTGCTGGAGGGGGCTCTAGGATGGGTGAATCAGAGAGACTGTCAGGCTCATCCCTAAAGGGGAAGACAAGACTCAGGCAGCTGCTACCAGGGCAGGTGTCAGAGTCTCATTAGTACGTATGACTGACACCTGGCCATGATCCGATCTCTAGTTCCTCAATCATGCCCCTTGAGACCCAAGATGTACAGACTCTGAACCTAAGAAGATGGTAGCCCGAGCTTTTCAGACCCTGGAGCTTTGCCAAGAAGACAGCTTCCTTATACGGGAAGGAGGTGACTGGGGTGCGGAGGGGGAAGGGAGCAGCAGCAGACAGTGGTGATGTTTGCTGGTCAAAGTTGTCAGCAGTTTTCCCCCTTATCCCTCTAAGGCCAGGATAGAGGACTGGTAATCTTAGGGGTTCTGGCAGTGACCTTGAATGGTGGTGTGAGTTCAGGGGGCTATCCCAGCACACCTTACCCAGCACTGCCCCCATTCCTGGCCCCCAGTTCTCTAGGGTCCCACGATCCATCAGCCCCTTGCTGTGGACTCCTGGAAACAAGGCTGAGGAGGGGAGGTAGTGAGTTGATCGTGTTGCTCACGGTAGCTATAATAGCAGCCAGCTTTCCTCTGTCTTCTCTGCCCTGGCTTGTGATGCAATAGTTCATTTAAATCCGCACCGGCCTCACTGTCACTTGGATTATACAGGACATCTAAAGCACTGAGCTTCAGCAGCTTTGCCAGAGACACTAGTCAATGGGAGAGGTGGAGAATCCCTGATGTGCGGCTGAAAGAAAAGGGTGTCTGAGCATTCCAGATGAGGACTTGTGTGCTCTGAGGCTGGCGGGGAGGAAGCCCTGGGTAGATGGCTGCCTCTTCCCTTTGGAGAAGTGTTCCCTCATTCTGAGCCACACCTAGCATGGCAGCTCTGTCTTGAGTGGGGTGACAAAGTAGATCTTAACGCCCAGGGAGGTCAGAGGCAAGGCCATTGTCCTTGGGGATGAGTGAAGGCTTATGGAGGAGGATTTTAGAAGCGTATGACCTTCTCTGTCCAGGAGACAGGTGGAAGGTTAAGCAGCCACCCCACCCCAGGCTTCTGAGTGGAATGTTAGTTAGTCTCTGGGTGTTAGCTGGGAAATTTTCAATCCATGACTGCTTACCTCTAATCTAGGCTACCAGTTTAAACTCCCTGGTCACGTCAGTGGCTAGCCTGGCCATTAGGAAGTGAATGCATCAGCAAGTCTTCAGAGATGGGAGCTTTGGTCAGTCATTTAAGCCCACTCTATAAACTGGGACAAAACTGTGGTGATTTACATATCTTGGGAGGAGTGGCATTGGGCAGAAGGAAGGGACCATAGAAGAATGGATATGGTAGGGAAATGACAGGACAGTGGTATGGATGGTGGTTATGGAGCAAGCGGTAGCATTTGCCTATGATGGTGCTGGTCTTGATGGTGACGACCTAGGCGGATGGTGATAGTAGCCGTTCTGTGACGGTGCTCTTGGTAATGGTGATGGTAATGTTGTTGGCCCAGTTATGGCAGTGATGATGGCGGTAATGGCGGCAATGGCGGCAATGTTGATGGTAACAGCAGTATTCACGGTGGGAATGGTACTGTCAGCAATGGTGATGGCAGCCTCGGGAGTGGTGATGGTTATCTTGGTGCTGATTGGGAGGGAATACTAACTGACGGAGATATTAACCACAGTGACTGAATGAATGGTAGGGAGTAGATGCTGTAATCGGAGTGAGGTGTGTAAGAATCAGACCCTTGAGTAGCTGGATCTCCAGTGTCAGAGGCATTGGGACAGCTTCGCGGTGGCTTTGGAGGTCTCTGGATCTTAGCGAGCCTATTTGTCCTCTCTGATCCTTATCACCCTGCCCCTTATCACCCAGCTCTGTCATAAGTGTGGTCTGAAGAGTGGGAGGTCAGAGCTGTGGAGCCAGCAGCACAGGGGAATTCAGCCTTCCTGGGACCCTTAGGCCAGATCCAGGTTCTGGAAGCAGCAGACACAGACATACAAGTTAGAGAAATTCTGCAACACTCCTAGAAGCCCTCACAAAGTCCTTTGCCCACAAACATGTACACATGCATTTCCACAAACACATCAGGCTCCAGGGCCCCAATTTACGTGTTAGGCAGTTCCTTCGTGAGGACTCAATAAAAACGGGACACACAGAAGTTCACACACTGGCCAGACAGCGTGCGCGCAGCCAGTCACACGCACGCGCAAAGACACTAGCGCGCCTCCGCTAAGTAAAACCAGCAAAACTCTGCGGAGCCAATTGGAGACTCCTTGGCCTGAAAGCCGAAGCAGCTGCCGCCAAGAGACGCGGTCAATTAACTTCTCTCTGCAGCCGGGCTCCCTGACCCGAGCCGCCCACCTCCTCCCGCCGGCCCGCCCCTACCTTGACCCGCCTCCTTCCTTCCAGGCCTCCAAGTTCTCTGCCTCTCGTAGCTCCACCCTTACTAAAGGGACCCGCCTACATGGCCAGGCGTGGGCTTGCAGAGCTGCCTGTTCAGGGAGATCAGGCTGTGTTCTTTGGAATTTAAGGAAGAGGTAGACTTTCTAGGGCAGTCATAAGGTCAGAGATACATGGCTCTGACTGCCTCGGGCTGTCCCAGTGTCATACTCAGGGTGGGGATAGAACTGCCCCCAGGCAAGATGCTAGCCCCAGCTTCCAAGTCAGAGGAGACTCAGATCTTCTCCAGCAGCTACCGTCTCAGTAAGAGACTCTCTCCCTGACCCCTGCTCTGTTCTCTTTTCCGGAGTTAAAATGATGTTGCTGGGTCCCCGTGGGTGTAGAGAGTGGAAAGAGGACATTCCTGCAGAGAGGTCAACAGGAGCAAAGGCCTGTGCCGGGTTACACATGTCCTCCATCCGCAGAGTCTGCTAGGATGGAGAAACCTCCAGTGGGCTGAGGCTTCCTAGGACTGCATAGGACTGCATAGGACTGCATGTGGGGGTGCAGCCCAGCCCACTGGTTCCTCCACTCTCCCTCTTTGAGGCCCTCAGTAGGAAGGGTGAGACTCTGACCCTTCACTGGGAAAAGCACTGACTGGATGCTGGTTCAGCATGGAAAATGGTGACTGTCATGGTCCCCGGGGGCCTTGAGACTTGAAGGAATCCAGGCTGGATTTGTCTCCTCAGAGTTCAGCACTCCTGATCCAGCCCCGGATCCCCAGCAGGCAGCCAGGACCCTGTGAGGCTCCATCCTGGGACATTCCACCATTCCCATGAGCCCCAGGGGTTAGACTAGACAAAGAATGCCAGTAGATGCTGGGTTACTGGTGGACAGATAGACAAGACAGCCCCCGTTCTTTTCTCCTCCCTGTAAGGGGCAGGTCCTAGCCACTGAGTTACTATGGCTTCAGAACCTTAAAAGAGAAGCTCTGGAAGGCAGATGCTCCCATGGGGCAGATGTCCCACACTTTCTCTAAAGGGATAACCTTTGAAAGGGGTAAATCGTTGGGGAGGGTGCATGAGTTTGGGACCAGCTGCCTCACCTGGAAGTGCTGCCTACAGTCTGACCTTTGGCTTGGCAGGTGGACGTGGACGATGTCTTTACCAAAGAGGAACAGATTTTCCTGCTGCACCGTGCCCAGGCACAATGTGACAAGCTGCTCAAGGAAGTTCTGCACACAGCAGGTGGGGGTAGGGAAATGGGGTGGGCCTGAGGTCAGCAGGCAGAGAGGGTGGGAGTCCAGGAGACAGGCGGGTGAAGGACTTGTAGGCATTAACCTAGGGTGGGCTTAATAGAGGGATACCCAGTCAGAGTAAAGGCCTAAAAGAGATGGATCAGGCAGGGTGAAGTCAGCAGGCTCCGGTGATCCTTACCTTCCTGGATCCAGGAAAGTGCTGGCTGCCCAGCAGAGTCTTCACACACAGACATGACCATGCACACATACACATGTGTGTGTGTGTGTGTGTGTGTGTGTGTAAGTGTAAGTGGGGCAGAGAGATTGGAAAAATTGCTAAAAAATATATGGGGTTCCCAATGCAGATGACAGGCAAAGCACAGGGTCCTAGTGGATTTAGATGGGGAGCGGCAAGCCAGGAACTTTGATGAGGGTGCTGGTCCCTAACAGGGTGGGCTGGGCCAACTTCCTTAAAGAAAAGAGAGCCAAGCCATGCCTAGAAGGGTGAGAAGCTCTCTGAAACCCAGAGCTCTTGCATAGAAGCAGAGGCCCTAGAGCTAGATAGGATGAGTAGGATACAGGACGGGGAAGGGTGTGTGTGACTCGGCCATAGTCTGGACAGAGGGTGTTTGGCCTACAGAGGACCCCCCCCCCAGCATCTCTAAGGGACCTTTGTCATGAGGAAGGAAGACATCTCCCATCTAGTCTCACAGTTCTGATCCCCCATCTCAGGGGTCTCCCCTCTGCCCCCTTCCTTGAGTTTATTTCCTGGACACAGGTATAGACTACATTGACATCCATCCAGGCTTCTGAGGTCTGGCTGATCTCATCAGCAGAGGATGCCAGACCCTGGCTTACTGTCCCTCCTTATTGGCAGCTTTCTCCCTGGAGCTGGCTCTCGGGTTCCTGGGATCCAGCAGTAGTGTATACCCAGGACACAAGCAAATGGTGACAGATTCGCTATGAGCCATGTGGACTTTGTTCACATTCGTAAAGACTCCCTCTGCATACTGAGCTTCACCTATCCTGGCCCACCTGTGGCTCCCAGTCACAACAAGGGTAGGGACAAAGGAATAACTCATGTGATCCTAAATGGGGCCCTAGTTCCTAGGTTTCCTAGTTGTGGAACCCACAGTTTGGGTCAATCTCTGGCTCCTTCTCATCCATCATGGAATCCCTCCCTGAGGGTGGAGGCAGGAAAATGCTGTCAGTCTTTGTCACCCAGTCCAGGTTGCCTGGACTCAGCTTCCCACAAACCTCAATATAGGAGGGTACCCAAGGAAGGTACCCTGGCTTGGCCTATATCTGAAGTCACACAAGTCAGATGGTGAGAAGGACTTTCTGGCTAAGGACAGAAGCCTCCAGTGTCTTTTCAAGGAAGAAAGGTCAGGCCCCAGCTCAGATGGTATCCTCAAGGGCTCTTGCAGAAGCTGCAAGCCCTGACCCGAGTGTTCCAGGACAGAGGATGGAGAAGGTGGGCTTATGTGTCCACTCCTAACACCATGCACTCTTTACTCCTGGCTGTGTGCAGGCCTCCTCACCTGCACAGCATGCTAGCTAGCCTACTTGGTTTTCACCTTTACCCCTCCATCCACCTCTCCCAGATTTGCTACCATGCGCCCTCTGGTGGGCTGTTCCCTCCTTCCCTTCGTGGTTCTGCCTGCTGGGCTGCCAGCCTTTCCACTTTCTAGCTGACCCCAACTCATAGATCACTCACCACTTTGAGCCACTACTGACCAGCTCTACTTCCTGGTTGTTTCTCCACCTGTACTGTGCAAACACAGTATAGTTTCCGAGTCACTTGCTTGTCCTTCCTGATCTTCCAGCAGCCTGAGTATCAGCATCCTTGGTAGGCTCAACTCATTGTAAAAAGGGGGAGCCAGTGAGGGGGCAGGCAGTAGCCAGGGCTGTGGTTACAGCACAGCCGATGGCTAGAACCACCCTGATTTCTCCAGCCAACATAATGGAGTCAGACAAGGGGTGGACACCAGCATCTACATCAGGGAAGCCCAGAAAAGAGAAGGCGTCGGGAAAGTTCTACCCTGAGTCTAAAGAGAACAAGGATGTGCCCACTGGCAGCAGGCGTCGAGGTATGTCTGTCCATCCTGCACCCTACCTGCCCCCCCCTTAGGCAGTCATTTGCCCAGGCTCAGGTCCACCTGTCTCCATCAATGTGAGTTCCTACGGGAAGTCAGAGACCACAGCTCCCTTGCCAGAAAAGCAGGCCAGGAGACAGCCCAAGAGGTATCACGAGTGAGGGTGGGGGTGGGGTCAGGTGGGTTGGGTGGCCTCATCACACAAGGAGATATGCAGAATAGACTCTCCAGCAGTCCCCAGAAAAGGATCCAGAGCTACAGGAAACCCATGATCCACTGAGGTAAAGAGAGAGGACAGAGTCCCGAGAGACAGAGTCAGGGAGAGAGGCAGAGAGACAGAGAGGGAACAAGATGCTCAACCCAAAAGTCTGGTATGTCAAAGGAAGTACACAAAGACACATAGTGGGAAGAGCCACAGACACAGCAAGAGAGGAGGGCAGCCTCAGAGGGGTGGAGACAGACAGTGAGACAAGGAGAGAAGAGGAGAGAGAGAAACACGGTTGCCTCAGGGAGGTGAGGAGAGACAAACACAGAGCCCAAACTGTGGCCACAAGGCCAGTTAGAGCCAGCAGGGTGGGCAGCAGATTCCAGATGGGCCACATCTGGGAGCCTGTGGTCACCCTGCGGCTCCCCAGGGACCAGAGGGAATTGTGGGCCTGGATGGGTGGGGCTGGGAATATGGCGCCCAGGACAGAGAGCCTTTCACCGAGCTGGGCGTGTCCAGCCCTCAAGGCTGCCTTCCAGGGAGGTTAGAGTCCTGTGGTCAAAGCCCTGCAGTGGGGGTAGAGGGGGCTCTCAGCTGGGGTGGAATGTGGATGATCTGGAGGCTGGGGACCCTCTGAGGTCACTTAGAAAGGCTGTCAGGGCTCCAAAGTGAGACATATCACTGTCCTTTGAAACTCAACGTTAGCACTCAGGTTTAGAGGATGGTACACCTACTGAGAGGTCAGTCTTTTGGGCAGGCCTGGATAGAAGAAGTCTAGGCTGATATCCATCAACTTCCCAAGAGGAAATGGAAACACAGAGAGTGGGGGACACCTGTGTGAGGTCAGCAGTGCCTCTTTAGAAGTTTAGCTGGCATGGAGAACCAGACTTCCTCCTGTGGTCTCCAGGGAAGGGTCACATAGGGAGCCTCTGAGCTGAGGGAAAATCTGAGAAAATGCTCTTCTTCAAACTGGGGGTAGGGGCAGGTGGATCCCTGTGAGTTCAAGGCCAGCCTGGTCTGTCTACAGAGTGAAACAATCTCAACACCCACCCCCCCCCCCCTCTCTCTCTCTAACTCTCTTCTTCAGAGACACCTAGAAGGTCGGACCAAAGGCCCTTGAGGCCAGGGCCTGTGTGGTGTAGCTTCAGTGTGGCATCCACTGCTCTTGACCTTTGTCAGACCAGATGATACCTGGAAAATGGGACTCGTGTTTAATAACTCATCACAGGGTCTGCAGTAAATTCTCTGAAGCCAGTGGGTTTAGGGAGCAAGGGGAAGTAAAGGCTCAATATGTTCTTTCTAGAATGCCCTAAACCTGAAGTTTCCAGTCACCAGCATCCTGCCCCTGTGTGTGTTTATGCCTCTGGGCCTTGACTATGGCTTTGACTCTGTCCTTCCTCATCCTCTACCCTCTGTTTTCTCTGGGCACAGGGCGTCCCTGTCTACCAGAATGGGACAACATCGTTTGCTGGCCATTAGGGGCACCAGGTGAAGTGGTGGCAGTACCTTGTCCCGATTACATTTATGACTTCAATCACAAAGGTGAGGCTAGCCAAATGGGCGGGGAACCGAGGGACGCGTAAAATGGAGTTCAGAGCCTCAGTAGCTCCAAACCTCCTTTTGCCTGTCCTGACTGTCCCATGGCCCTACAGGCCATGCCTACAGACGCTGTGACCGCAATGGCAGCTGGGAAGTGGTTCCAGGGCACAACCGGACATGGGCCAACTACAGCGAGTGCCTCAAGTTCATGACCAATGAGACTCGGGAACGGGTGCGCACCTCCTCCCTCCCAAGCCTGATCCTAAGACCACACCTACTCCACTAGTGAACCTCAACCTAGCCCCGGCTCTCCTAGCCTTTACTTCTCCAGCAACCTTAATTTGTTCTCCACTTTGCCCTTAGTGACCACCCTGAGTCCCTGTTCTCTGTTTTTTGCGCAGGAGGTATTTGACCGCCTGGGCATGATCTACACCGTGGGATACTCCATGTCTCTTGCTTCCCTCACCGTTGCTGTGCTCATCCTAGCCTATTTTAGGTGGGCGGGGCGAGGAGTGGGGCGAGGGTAGGGCAAAGCCGGCGAGGGGTGGAGCGTGATCTAGGGTGAGGCCGGAGGGGTCCAGGGTGCGAGCCTCCTTTTTCCCCTTCACTGCATCCATTCCCCCCCTGCGTGATGTCCCCACTTACGGCGCACAGCCCAGCTTCCTGCCCACCGCTGCGTCCCCCGTGGCCTCACCCACGGTGATGTCGCACGCCCGCAGGCGACTGCACTGCACGCGCAACTACATCCACATGCACATGTTCCTGTCGTTTATGCTGCGCGCCGCAAGCATCTTCGTGAAGGACGCTGTGCTCTACTCTGGCTTCACGCTGGATGAGGCCGAGCGCCTCACAGAGGAAGAGTTGCATATCATCGCGCAGGTGCCGCCTCCGCCCGCCGCTGCCGCCGTTGGCTATGTGAGTGCCCCTGTGCCACCCACCATGCCCCTTCCAACAGCAGCCCCGCCCTCCCCCTGCCTGTCTCTTGCTACCTCCTCCAGCTTCAGGCCAGCAAACCACCCCACAGGGACCCTCACGCGGCTCAGCTCACCACACACCTTCTCCCCACCCCCACCTCCCCTCCTTACTCCCAGTGTTCCCTCTTCCCTCCACACTGGAGGGCCCCAACCTCTCCTCCCCATTGCCTTACCGCCTGCTGCTAACACCCTAGCCCCACACCAGGTCCCAACCCAGCTAACTGCACCAGTCCCAACCCAGCAGCCTAGAGGGAACTTCCTTCTCCCCCTAATTCGAACCAAACCCTGCCTATAAGATGCAGGTTCTACCTTTTGGAACTAACTCTGGTTGGTCTCTTAGGCTGGCTGCCGAGTGGCCGTGACCTTCTTCCTCTACTTCCTGGCTACCAACTACTACTGGATTCTGGTGGAGGGGCTGTATTTGCACAGCCTCATCTTCATGGCCTTTTTCTCAGAGAAGAAGTACCTGTGGGGCTTCACCATCTTTGGCTGGGGTACGGAGTCCAGTGTGGTGGGTAGGGTGGAAGTGGACCAGAGTCAGGCACTCCCACAGGGTATGTCCTGTCTCTCAGTTTTGTAGCAGGCTGGGGGCTTGCCCATCCTGCTGCGACTAACTCCCTCCCAGCTCTGAGGGACTCCACTTGTCTATGGGCAGGGCTCACCCAGTGCTATTGACTTGGCCTGGCATTTCAGCTCTCTTAGGGTGATAATTCCTGGGGATGCGATGAGGGTAAACTTGGGACCAGAGTAGGATCTAAAGTCACCAGTTAGCCTGGGGTTGGGGGTATAGTCTGGAGCCTCCTTCTACCCAGAGCCTTGAGGGAGGGGCTCACATCTGTTCCCAGAGGTGAGGTCCAGGGCCAGCAGCTCAGACCATTTCACTTTAGCCTCTCTGCAGTGGCTTCCCGGGATGCTGCGGTCCTACCGTCCCCCCTTGGGCCCTTGGATCTAGTTACTGATAATCGTTCATCACTGCTGGCAGCTCCAGAGCTTGGCTGGGCCCTGGGGAAAGTTGCCAGATGGTGGAGGGGTAGGCCGGTGGCTCGAGGCTCCGGGCTCAGCATCTAGAAAGCCTTCATCTCTCCAGCCTTGGCACATGCCCTACCCCTGACCTCACCACGGCAAGTCCCAGAGCTGGGCAGATCTGGGCCTGATTCCAGGAACTAACACAAGCTGCTGGGTGGGCTGGAAACATGTGGATTAGGGAGCACACAGAACCTTATGATCTGGGAATGTCACACCCTTACCACAAACCCAGGTGACACTTTTTCCCTCCAAGGATCCACCAGGCTGGGAATAAAGCTGGGGGAGGGGGAGTCAGGCTCCCTTCACCCTGGAAGATAACCTTTACTTCACCCTCATCCGTGAAAGCTAAGACCTTTCAATCCAGGCTTGGAGAGGGAGTTTCCGAACAGAAAAAAATGCTAGTCACCGGCTTGCTCTCCATGGGTGCTCTAAGCCCAGAGCAGAATGATCTGGGATAAGCTGTCAATACCATGTTATTTTTTGCATGTGCCCAGCAGGTGTGCACAGATGCTCACAGGAAGCAAGGGACCTAAATGGGGCAGAGAGCTGCCTTGAGTTTTGAGGGCTGGCACCTCAGGCTGTTAGGTTAAACAGCCATGTGCCTAGGGTGAGGGGTGGGGGCAGCAAGCCGAGGAAAGTCATAGGGTTTGGGGTGCAATTAACACCCCTCACAGTGCCCCCTCGCCACACAGGTCTGCCGGCTGTCTTCGTGGCTGTGTGGGTCGGTGTCAGAGCAACCTTGGCCAACACTGGGTAGGTCAAGCGGCAAAGTATATGTGTGGGGGTGGGGGTGTGGGACCAGGGACCTTGACACCGCTGGAAATGCTCTGGTTTCCCTCTTCTGTGAATCACGGGGGAGAATCCATGCCCCATTGGCTCCGGCCTCAGGAATTCTTGATTAGCCTTCAGCCGGGAACCACCTCAGGGTCACAGAAGATGACTTCCATGAGTGCCTGAAGCATGGACACATGCAGTTCTCGTCCTGTGCCCTTAACAACTCTTGTCAGAGCAGGACAAATCTGGGACCCAGGTGGGCTGACTGAGAAGGAAGTGGCCAGTGGCTAATGCTTCACCTTTCCGTAGATGCTGGGACCTGAGCTCCGGGCACAAGAAGTGGATTATCCAGGTGCCCATCCTGGCATCTGTTGTGGTGAGCAGGGGTTGGGGGCAGTGTGGTTACGAGCCTCCGTGACTAACCCTTAACAAGAATATCTGTGATGGCTTCCCTGGATTCCAAGGACCCGAAACCCAAAGACCTGAAGACCACATGATTCCTACTGCAGGCTAGATGGGGACGCTAAGGGCCCTAGGAAGCCACCTAGAGATGCAGTGACAGACTAGGGCATGTGACATGGCCATGGGTCCACGAATCCTTGTGCCATGCTGGTAGGATGTAGTCTCCAACACAGCCTCTGTCCCACAGCTCAACTTCATCCTCTTCATCAACATCATCCGAGTGCTTGCCACTAAGCTTCGGGAGACCAATGCGGGCCGGTGTGACACCAGGCAGCAGTACCGGTGAGTTCTGGCTCTTGGGATTCAGGGTGGAATTCAGGGTCACTGTTGGCTAGCACCATGTTCCCAAGAGAAGACAAGGTCCCATGGTTGAGCTTGTGAGAGGAGCCTCTGGCTCTGGTCCACTCCAGCCCTGCCTGCACAGCACTGCTGGGTCATACTATCAAGCTTTACACTAGAGCGAAGGTCTACAAGTGTGCTACACACCCAGCCACCCTCGGACAGCTGCACTGAGGGAATCAAAGGGGCAGGTGGGTAGATGTCGGCTCCAATAAGACATCTCCTCAGGAGAAACCCAAGAGTTAGGTCCCAGGAGAATGAGTGCATGCCAGCAGGTATGCATAGGGCCCAGGGAAAGAGTGACTGCACTTGTTGTCTACTGGAGGACACCATCCAAGAAGCCACGTAGCACTTTGCCTCCTGGAAGGAGCTGTCCTTGGCTGAACTTGGTTGCCAAGCCACAGTAGCCAGAGCCCTCACTTCTGGAGCTTGGGCCTGGGGTGGTGTGGGAGGATGGCGCGCTCTGTTGTGGGGCAAGGAACACGGCCTAACCTGCATGCCCCGATGGCCAGGAAGCTGCTCAGGTCCACGTTGGTGCTTGTGCCGCTCTTCGGTGTCCATTACACCGTCTTCATGGCCTTGCCGTACACCGAGGTCTCAGGGACACTGTGGCAGATCCAGATGCACTACGAGATGCTCTTCAACTCCTTCCAGGTGTGTGAGCTGCCTGAGGTCCTGGGACAGGGTCGGGGGTGAGATGTGGTCCTGATTGTGTGTGCCTCTCTCGACAGGGATTTTTTGTTGCCATCATATACTGTTTCTGCAATGGTGAGGTAAGCAAGGGTGATATGGTAGTAGCAGGCATGGGTGAGGTGGTAGAAGGCAGGGGTGAGGTAGTAGGAGCAGGCAGGGGTGAGGTAGGAGGAGCAGGTAGGGGTGAGGTGGTAGGAGCAGGCAGGGGTGAGGTGGTAGGAGCAGGCAGGAGTGAGGTGGTAGGAGCAGGCAGGGGTGAGGTGGTAGGAGCAGGCAGGGGTGAGGTGGCAGGAGCAGGCAGGGGTGAGGTGGCAGAAGCAGTCAGGGGTGAGGTGGCAGGAGCAGGCAGGGGTGAGGTGGCAGGAGCAGGCAGGGGTGAGGTGGTAGGAGCAGGCAGGGGTGAGGTGGTAGGAACAAGCAGGGGTTCCTTAAGCCCTGTCCCTACATTCTCTGCCCTGCCTCCATTCTTTCTTTGCTCCTCAAGAACCTTCCTGACCACACTGTGAAGGTACAGAGAAGGCCTCAAAGATGACTCAGGCGCAGAATGTACTGGGGTGTGTGGGCTCTTCCATGGGTGGCATAGCAAGCTGTCCCTCAGCCCCAGAGAAGAAGTTTTTTAGAACTCAGTCTGAGGGCTCAGCCATCTTTGGGCCATCTGAGCTTTTGGATTCTGGCCGTGTCCCTTTCTGTATTCTGAAGATTGGGCTCAGATTAACCTTGGGCTTCTCCAGTAGTCTCCTATCATTTAATCCAGGGATGGTGGCAGGGAAACATGGCGAAGGGTTAAGGGCACACCTGACTGCCACCTGTCTATCTCCCCAAGGTGCAGGCAGAGATTAGGAAGTCTTGGAGCCGCTGGACACTGGCATTGGACTTCAAGCGTAAAGCACGGAGTGGAAGTAGCAGCTATAGCTACGGCCCAATGGTGTCTCACACGAGTGTGACCAATGTGGGCCCCCGAGCAGGACTTAGCCTTCCCCTCAGCCCCCGCCTGCTTCCTACCACCACCAATGGCCACTCCCAGCTGCCTGGTCATGCCAAGCCAGGTGCTCCAGCCGTTGAGAATGAGACCACACCAGTTACTATGGCAGTTCCCAAGGACGATGGATTTCTTAATGGCTCCTGCTCGGGCCTGGATGAGGAGGCCTCTGGGTCTGCACGGCCACCTCCATTGTTGCAGGAAGAATGGGAAACAGTCATGTGACTGGGCACCAAGGGGCTGGACCGCGGGCATGGGCAAATGGACAGATGGACCAAGAAGCCAGTGTTTGGCTGGTTGTCTATTCAGGACTGGACCAGGAAGATGAACAAAAGGAAAAAAGAAAAAAGAAAAAGAAGGGAGCTGTGTGTGGCTTCCTGTGTTGCGCTCAAGGATGCCTGGGTCTGGGAACCATGAGGGTTGGAGAATACTCTGCACAGGGTTGGGAGAAGGACCCTGGGTCTCATTACATAGGAAGGGTCTGGGATTTGGGGACTCAGCACTGTCCAACAGAAGAGAGACTCTGCTCTCAAGGCCCAGAGAAGGGCCTCCGAGCTAGCTCAGTTAGTAGAGCACTTGACCCAGGACACACGAGGCTCTAGTTTGTTCCCAGCACCTCATAAACAAGGCTAGCATCTGTAAGCCCAGTCCTCTGGAGATGGAGCTAAGAGGATCAGAGATTCAAGGACATCTTTGGCTACATAGATAAGTTGGGAGGTAGCCAGGGGTACATGAGACCATGTCTTAAAAAAGCAAAACAAAACAAACATTGCCCAGAGAGGGTCATGCTTGCAGGAATCACAACAGCTAGGTGGACCTGTGAGGGAGCAGCCAGCCTTCCTCTTGTCATGAATACACCAGGAGTCAAGCTTCCCTAGAGCAGCTTGGACCTGCTAGCCCCAAGTCACTGCAGCCAAGGCTCACAGCAGATACCTCAGCTCCTTGATTCACTCTCCAGTGTGAGCCCTGCCACCAGGTGAACCTTTCCAATCTGACGGCCACATAGGTGCCCTTCATGTATGACCACAGCTCCATGGAAAGGGGATTTCTCTGGCCGAGGTTGCAAGGATAGTGGGAGGTGGGTTGCCTCTGCCCTGGCTCTGGAAGCTAGGAGAGTAGGCTCTAAGGGTTAGCTAGGGTGCAGGCCTGCGAGGCTAGGCCTGTACATTCACTAAGTACATTGCACATTTGCCCAGTATCCCCATCTGATAGTCCCTACCCCCACCCTCATCCTCTGGGCCTCCCTAGCCCTGTCTGGAACCGATTATGAGCCCTCAGAAGGCCTGACACTGAGGCCACCTGCCTATACATGGGCTGCTCGGCTCACTGGGTTCCCCCAGCTTTTGTACCATCTGGTGCTTCGGTCAAGTCCTCCCTTCTCAGTTCACACCATCTTGCTTTTCCTCCAGTCCTCCTCCACCCCAGGCCTAAGCCATCTTAACTCGGGCACTAAGTGATAGGGACATATACTGAGCACTCCTAGGCCAACCCCGTCTGGCATTCTTGATGGCCAGCAGGACAAATGACCGTCTAAAGTCTTCCCCACACTACTGAGCCAGGCTAAGTTGGAGCCCATTAACATTCTAGAGGAAATTTTTATTAGAGTCCCTGCTTCCATGCGGAGACCAGAGGGAGCTGTTGAAGGGTCAGATGAGACAGGAGAGCATGTCAGAAGACAGTGACAAGACCATGCTGTTGTCAGGAAAGACCCTGGATGAGGCAGTGACTGGGAAAGGAGTCCACAGCAGGACAAACTCCGTTCCTCTTCCTGGACTATGCGCTACCCCTGCACAGGGTCTAGACTGACCTGTCAGCTCCGTGTTTCAGGACTTTTGGATCACTGGGCCTTAATGGCTACTTACTCTTTGCAACAACAATCCCAGACTGTTCTGTCCAAAGGCCATGACCTGAAAATATTCAAATAGCACCTCTAGGCCAACTCCTGTCCCTACCCTCCTCAGTTACCATCTTCCCTTTGGATCCACCAAATAGGGGGATCTGTCCTTTTCCTTTAAAGATGTCAAGTGCCCTAAGACTCCATCCTGCATGTTGTACCCATGTCAGACCAGGCCTCCTGTATTCAGCTGGACACCTCTTCTGCAAAGACCGGCCTCCTCCTTGGAATATTTGCACCCAGGACAGAAACAGCCATTCCCTGGTCTTTAGGCTGGGTACCACTTTCTCCTGGCTGGATGTCTGAAATAGATCTGGCCCCAGCCCATCAGCTCAAGACAATCATCCAGGCCAGGTGATGGTGGCGCATGCCTTTAATCCTAGCACTTGGGAGGCAGAGGCAGGAGAATTTCTGAGTTCGAGGCCAGCCTGGTCTACAGAGTGAGTTCCAGGACAGCCAGGGCTACACAGAGAAACCCTATCTCGAAAAACCAAAAAAAAAAAAAAAAAAAAAGACAATCATCCAGGAGCAGTTCCCTGACTCTGAACTGGTAGCCTCTGGCCCTAGGCTGGCTTCTACTCAGAGTACCCCCACAAGCCCCGCCTGGCCTGTCCAGGTGTTGGCAGAAGTGGGAGCCCTCAGAAGCCCTGGCAGATGGTCAGGGCCCTGTTTGCCTTAAACAGCCATGGGAGCCAGGTGGTCACTTTTCCCTGCAAGGCCCCACAGCCCAGCCAAGCCACAGGGAACACATAAACAGAGCTAGGCCGGCCAGAGAGTAGACAAGGAGGAGACCCCATCCATTGCTTCTGTAGTCCACTATCCAGGCACCTCACAGGATCCGCAGGATTCTAGATCTGGTCAGTGAAGTGGCCAGGTTCAGCTCTCAACCTGCCTTGAGCATGCCAAGAGGCTCTGCCCCTCTCTGGTCCCCTCTCCTCATAACCAGCAATGAGAGCACCCAAAGGGTCTCTCTGAAGACCCTTAGAAGTAACATTCACTCTGAGAGAAGACACACAGCCCTGGCCTCTGGTGGGGGCTAAGCCTACAGCTGCCGGCTCGGAATGGAATCATGGGACTTCAGATTCCATTGCTGCCTACCCTCAGCCTGCAAGCCCTGCTCAGGATCATATAGGACACCTGGCCTGCAGGCTGCAGTGGGCAGGCCATGATAGTCCACACTCTCCAGTCCTCACCCCAGGGAGGTGACAGAGGGCAGACCAGGAGGAGGGCACTGAGGTTCAAGAGGGATATCACTGTGTCCCAGGCTTCTGAGAGAACTCAGCCCTCTGGAGTACCTGTGAAGAGGCACAGCCTTGCCCCAGGGTCCTGAGAGGTCACTGGCTCTGGGACTAGGGATGTGAAGCTTCCAGAACAATTTCCAGGTCCAGTTCTTTCCTTGGCCAACCACAAAATGACCCCAGCCTAAGGCTACCTCAGCAAACTGAAATAAACCTCGGCTTGGCAGAGCTGGTCCCACTGGCCAGGAGAGGCAGAGGAGAAAGGGACCATGGAGGGCCTGGGCCTCTGCTGGCTACATATATATTCTGTGTTACCCTGGGCAAGCTGCTACCCTTTCTGAGCCACAGCTTCTCGGAGGTCAGGCTCCACTCAGCTTTCGTTGGTTTCTTTCTTCTTCCCTCCCTCCCTTCCTTCCTTTCTTTTTTAAAAGATTTATTTATTTTATATATGTGAGTACACTGTTGCTGTTTCCAGACACACCAGAAGAGGGCATCAGATTCCACCACAGATGGTTGTGAGCCACCATGATCTGTGGTTACTGGGAATTGAACTCAGGAACCCTGGTAGAGTCAGTGCTCTCAACCACTGAGCCATCTCTCCCAGCTCTCCACTCAGCTTTCTTGACCTGTGTGGACTCAGAAGCTTCGCCTTCCTCTCACGTACGTCCCCAGGCTAGGCTTTAGCATCCTGGACTGGGCTTTTGTCTTCCTGCCTTGCACAGGTAGGAGATCCTCAAGGACTCAAGGGTAAATGATCTACCGCTTCTCCCCACTGCAGCATCGCAGCTGTGCAGGCAGGAGGGCATTTAAGGTGAGGCTGGAGGATGGGTTCTGGGACATGAGAAGGTGGGCTCTTGACCCCTTCGTCAACTTCGATGGATCCAGTCACTCCTTGTAATGACCAGACACAGGAGGCCCTTGGCCAGTATATCTCTATTAGTCATGTGAAATGTCTGTCCATCCAAGTCAACTTGACCCAGACTCTACAGCATTTGTGAATCAAAGGGTAATGTTGGTGTGGTCCACACAGTGTTTCTTGTCCCCAAAGGCCATGCCGCTATATGCTACATGCCCCAGTAAGATCACCTCCATCAGTCACTCAGATAGAAGGGTGCATTGTGCATGGATTTCTGTGTACGTGTGAACTTGTATATTTATTTGTATTTGTGTCTGCTTGTGGTTCTGTTGGCATGTATACCTGTGTCAGTCTGTCTGTGTGCCAGTATATATTTACATAATGTTTGAGTATGTCTGTATGTCTTTGCACATATCTGTCTTTTAGTGCATCTGAGAGACTGTGTGTCAGTGTCTATTTTTGTTTGTTTGTCTGTGTACGTGTAGTGTGTGTGTGTGTGTGTGTGTGTGTGTGTACCCGTGGTCTGCGAATGCCGCCTGTGGGTGGAATTTGGCTCTTAGACATGTTTGCTTTGGCTTTCCCAGTATTTTCAACATCTTGAGCCAACATTTAAAAATCAGGATATTTCACATAAAAATTCAGCTTTCCAGCTTCTCTTAAAAATTCAGAAGCCCTGGAAGCCTCAGACCAGGATTCCCATGAGTCCACTCTCCTCCTAAGCTGCATAGGGCCAGCCTCCTTCAACCTCCTTAGCCTCCTTCGTCCTGCTCCGCTTGGTCACCATTACCTTGAGGATGGCTGGGTTTGGGACCCAGAGTGTGTGGTCACTTCTAGATGTTAGCCTTTTGGGGAGTGTGTGCATGAGAGTGCATACGTGCACATCAAAACCCTATATATGTGTGCACTTCTGTGTCTGAGGCATGTCTGAATGCTTGCATGTGCATCAATGCTAGTGTATGCATGAGTATGAAGCCTGCGTGTGTGGGAAATATATGTAAGGCTGTGTGTGTGTGTGTCTGTGTGTGTGTGTCTGTGTGTGTGTCTGTGTGTGCGTGTGCATGAAGGGGGGCATATTCATAGCCATGTGGAGTGTGTGGGCCATTGTGGTCTGGCATGCTCTGCACAGGGGCCTCTTCCGGCCTTTGAGGGAGAATCGGATTCCCGGCTTCTGGCCGGGCTGCCTTGTGGGATTTATTTCTGTCTCAGTGCCCACTGGAGGCCTGAGTAATGGGAACATTTAAAGAAAACCAGAAAAATACATACAGAAGAGGCAGGCTGGCTAGGGAACTCAGCTCAGATACTCTGCCTGGTCCACAGCTGCAGGAACCCAAGGCCAGGTCTGAGTCTAGGACAAAATAGCTTGAGATCCAGCAT